AATTAAAGTGCGAAATAAGTTTTGGTAAAAGTAAATATGTTCAAATAGGAAATAAAATGATATACATCTTAACGAGTTAATGTTATATAAAACAAGGGACAAGATTTCAACTGATGAGGCACAAAAACAGTCAGAGAAGGAAAGGTATTCAAAATGGAGATGAAAAATGATTATTGCAAAGTTATTAATTTAATTCGTAGCTGTATAAGCATAGGTGTTATGGATACCGGGATGTAAGGAGAATGTATAATGAACGCAAATGCGAATATATAATCGGTTTTTATAGTAAATAAATGGAGTAAAATGAAAAAACAGGGAAGGCACAATTGAGTCTAATACCGATGAAATCATCGTTAAGAAATTTCATATGGAGCCACAGAAGAAATAACATTTTGATAATATTCAGCGACTTGAAGGGATAAAATTCATATCTTCCGATTAATGTGAGCCCTACGCCTATTAGATGATCAAAACCGGTAGGTTAGCGAAAAAAGGAAAAAAATAGAAAGACAGACGGGAAAGAAGATAATAAATGCACCTTCGAGAAAGGGAGAACCGAGTGGATAGGATTAGCCCCTAGTAACATGCAGTCCCCACAATACAGGACTACAGAGAAGAGAAAAGTCGCGGCAAAATAAGCAGGTAAGTATTGAGAAGAAAAATAACAATAAAGCTTCTGTGATGCAATTTGCTCGTTAGGTCAAGCTCTTTCATAGAATAGTGCGATTTCGATCTCACTGCCCGACTCAACGCTTTGGCTAGTTCGGTTCGCCGTTTTTTGAGGTGATGGAAGCGCTGGCTCAGGCATTAATTCGCTAACGTTGATTGGCACATAGTGCCCACCAGCTCCGGAGCCGTAATCACCACTACCAGATCGAAGTAAATGTTTTCGTTTTAAAAATGATCAAAGCAAAGATTATAAGACTTAAAGTTTTTAACATACAGCATAAATGCAACTTTAGCATATGTGAAAGTGAAATGATTTGGTGTAAAACTCTTTAAACCCTTCAAATACCATTCTTCAGCCACATTTAGTGGAGTGCGATAATAACAAGGCTTGTTAAAAATATATTACGATCAAGAAACAATCAAAAGAATTGGCTTGACCCCATTTTCACAACTTGTTCGCGCCGTTATGGAAATTCGGAAGAACGTAACTTGAGTGGCCATGGAAGTCGTGATAATTGCCAAGATCAGACCGTGGACTTGTTGTATTCCCACACATTTTGATGGCATCATTAGTGAACTTTGCTAACCTTGGCATCGACATATAGTTATCTCATTAAAGATACAAGAAAAGTCCATCCCTGAAGATATTTTGGCTCCTATCTTTGTGCATTCACACATTCACCCATCCATACATCTTACTGCATCCCTATCACAACTTGTATATTTTGAGACACTCCATGTGTGCTTTTTTGAAAGGATAAAGAAGCGTAACTGCACTTCCTTCTGCCTTACTCTATAGGCAGTTTGATTGCCATAATTTTCAATCTGATATATAACTACTTTACCCAATTCTTGTTGGATTCCTTATTGATGCCTCGAATTACCGTTTATCATCTAATATTGGCGTACCTTTCATTTAGTTTAAACAAGTGAGTGAAAGGGATTTGAAAATTGGCTCCACTGGAAACCAAAAGAAGATCATTTGGAATTGCTTGTTGAATAGTGCGAATAAGATCTAGGCTCGTGGTGCTCTAATATGGATGGATCAATGTTAAGCTTGTGTCACTTAGTCGAGATCTTCTTTGCCAAATCCAGTAGTCGAAACTCCAAGGTAATCCTTCTTCGATTTCTGGTGGCCAGTTTATAATTGATTACTACTCGCCTTTTTTTAGGATACGCCAACATTAATTTGGTGAGTACTCAAAACCAATCTCTTTATATCCGTTTCTTGTCATATCGGTTCACTGATGTCACTCAGTTTTTTCCGCCTCGCCCGTAAAACTCGAGGCGATATTTCCCATGATTTTCCTCTGGCATTTTATAGCACATATGCTACAGTTTCACCAAACAGACTGGCAAAACCCTGATTCTCACAATAGCTGAAGACCCTTTACCGATTTAGAGCAACTTAACTCTGTGATTTCCATCAGCTCAATTTAGAATTTGTACTGTGTTGGTAAATCTAGTGGTAAGGTATTTACTTCACGGACAACTTCTATGATCTAGCCCATGAAATAGTCTGTATCTCTTGAGGGTGTACAAAAATAAATATAAAACCTATGTGGCTGTTGAATAGGCTTAAGGAAAGAGAGAGGGAGCTGAAAGAAACGCCAAACAAGAATAGGCTTGAATAGCCTCGGGAATGGATAAGGCAATCAAATCCCAAATAACCTTAGCATTGCATAGACACAATATACAATACAACATACCTAGACATTCATTGTCATTTCTGTTTTGTGTGAAACAGCTGCGACCATATCCATGCATCAACATCATACATCCGCAATCATGTATGGTAATCGTAAAGTAACCAACTTATTACCGGAATGCCCTAATCAGTTTGCGAAGCTAAGTAAAAGTGAGTATGCTTGAAGCCAGCCAACCTTTTTTGGCTCAGTTTATTTGGTGCATATTTTCGTAAATGATGGTTCTGCGTATCATATGAAAGATAAAAGCTCAGCATGGATTCATTAGTAACACAAAATTTTTTCGAGGGATACTCCGTACAATCCAATATTCTCTATTTTAATTCTGATGAGACCAACTCACGAATTTTTTCCAACCAAATTTATCTTCGAAACAAAAAGTCGACTCACATTTAATCTTATTCATTTTTCTTTGCGATTCAAGTTTCCTATTATAAAAGATGCTTCCAAGGTTTAACGGCACTCATTAAAGAAGTCTTCTATTGATTTACGATTCTTCCTCAGCAGCCACTTTCTTTCAATTCCCTTCTTCGTCCAAAATACATCTTTACATCTTTTTTGACGACCTAGCTAATTCCTTTCGCCTTCTATAAATCTCCTGTTTATTAGATTCTTTTTAGCAAATATCCCAACGGTCCCTGTAATATTTCGTTTTCTTCTGTTTCCACTGTATGCAGCCGGTCTTTCTAGCCATGTATATCTATATTTCTTCAGCTGATTAAGCGTTCTTTGGTTCCTATGCTGATTTTTAATCCCGTTTCGCCAATATGCCGTCGGTACATGATATGCAGAAGGCTCCCAAATAACCTGTTTTATTTTTAGAAGTGCGACAATACCAGAGGCCACACGATCTTGGTCTTCATATCTGTTTTATTTACCTTCTTATGTCGCATAAGTAAGGTGGTAAATTGTTGTCTTTTCCTTTGTTATCATCTTAATATTGTATTTTATTAGTATCAGTTTTGGTTTAAGACTCAGCTCAAGGGTAGGCCGATAAATTCGCTTTTTTGGTTCTTACTCATTTCCATTCTTCTCTTCATAATAATCATCTGGCTATCTGCTTTTTGCGACTCATATACATCTGTGTGCGATTAGCACCATAAAGCCATATAGTAAACAATATAAGCATGACAAATAACTTAGATAACAGAACTTCGAATGATAAAAAAAGTAAACAAAAAAAGATCGTAAGCAAATAGGTAGAATCATTAAATAGCTTATCACTACTTGATGCAAAGTATGTGCCATAGGACAACTCTTGTAAAATGTAATTTATCAATAGGATAAAATTTAAATAGAGGTCAAAGCTATGGAATTCTGGGAATCAAAGTGAATATTGAGGCTTAAAAAATAGCAACAATTAATCGTCTTAACATCTTGATGGTATTTAGTACCGAAAGGACTAGCCCTTCTGTTTACGAAAGTATTGATGTTAAAGTAGGGTGAAGTCAAGTCAATAGATAGTCTTTACTGCTATAGGAGATAAAAAATTGATTAGGAGCTTACCTAATGTTGCGAAATGAATCAAAATCGTGGAACTCGCGACCCCAGAAAGTACGTCGTTTTAGGCTTAAGGGATCCTTCCCAGCAATGTATTGGCGTTCAAGAGCCACGTTGCGCTCACCAGCAGAATTTTGAATGTCACAGGTGTGAGTCTCGCCATTGGCCCCATCGATGCAGCTAAGCAAGGAGTCTGATTGCTCGGTTGGCCTGATTAGCCTTTGTGGTAAAGGGTGCATTGAAGCCGTTTTGCCAGAAGCAGGCGCTGTCACAGGTCCATTCTTGCTGTTCCTGAGTGAAGCTACCCAAGCAGTCAGACGTGCAAGCAGTCCCTGAGGTACAGAGTCTGTGATCATCTGGCATTCTGACTCTATCCCGGAGCCAACAGCAACGTCATCACTGATAGCATCACGGTTACCATTGACAGATATAGGTTGTAGCAATGGGTTCTGCTCGTCCCCAGAACCTTCTCCAAATTCGGAGAACAGTAGAGGGATATTGTTTTGACTCGTATATTTAGGTGAATAATTTAATTTCAGAGAGCTGCCGCCGACCCTATCAACCAATGATTTTAGAGGTGCAGACACATTATTTGAATGGGTGGCATCGAAGTGAAAGTACTTTTCAACTTCTCCATTTACTCCTGTTTTTTCTCCTACTTCGAAATCGTCAATCGACTGAGGAGGATCATGAGTGAATGACCGATTTGAGTAGATATAGTATTTTCCGTTGGGATGCATGACTGGGCCGACATGGGTGATTCCGGCCTCAGCCAGAGGAGCAAGATGCCGATCAGCCAAATAGTCATGGCCGTCTGGAAAAGAATCAGCCAAATGAATGCGCCCAAGATGGCGAACACTGGTGCCTGGGGCAGGGAAAAAGGTAATCATAATTATATATGAGATCCATTTAACCCAGCCCGTTTTAGTTAATGAATGAATGATGGTAGAATTTTCCCACCAATATATTAATAACCCTTACGCTTACACTAAATTTTACCAACTGTTATTCTCATCCAGGGCGGACTAGTATTTCGACCTCGCATAGAGTGTATCAGCATTCAAACGGAATATGAATCTAGGTCGTGCAGCATTAAATTTTGAAATGCAGGCCAATAAGACATACTTTTACACTTACCCTTTAGCCACAAAGAAGACGTGAATTTGATGGACGGCCAGGCCTATCCCATATCCCATTACTTTGAAGGGATTACAGATAAAACAGTTATATTTGCAATTACAATCGACAATATTACTCATTTTTGTCTCGATACAACAAGTAGATCATATATATATATATATATATATATATATAATGTCTTCACCGTATTTAGCTTAGGATGATGAAGGTATGTCTATAAACCGTCTTCTAAACAAGAATAAGAATTATAAACGGATTGGAGACAAATGATGCTAAACCACCCGTGAATGCTGATTAATAAAATGCTTAAGTTATGGATAGTTGGTTTCACCATGAGATCCTAAAAACGAAGTCCTGATCCCAATAAGAGGCTATTCGGAGTAAATTAACGTGATTTTCGTAAATATAAAGACTAAGATGAGATGCCTTCTGTTTTGGCCGCAGTCTCCCTTCACTGTATGAAAGAAGTCTGGCCTCATTTTCGCAACTTGCTTGCGTTGTCAAGTGGAGTTAGCTAAACGCAACT